CAGCCAGCCCACGCGGTCCCAGCCCAGGGGATCCTGGTCCCTGGGGTCCCAGCTCTCGGGGTCCCAGCCCGCGGGGTCCCAGATGTTGGGGTCTCTCCCTGGGCTCCAGCCCCTCGGGGTCCCAGCTGTCGAGGTCCTAGCGATCGGGGTCCCAGCCCCTTGGGTCTCACGAGTGCAGGACACCCACGGGGCCACTCATGCCCCATGTCCTTGGAGGGTCCTGGTGCCTGAAGTGATCCCCCCTAGCAAAGGGGCCGGCAGCAGCTCCTCCAGACCCAAGCCCGTCCCTCGCAGGTGCCCAACACGTCCCCGACAAGGGCTACCAGGCACGTGTCCCCCAGGGCCAGGGCAAAGCCCTGGGGGATGCGGAAGTCACTTCCTTCCCCTTTCCCCAAATAGCTGCTATGCAAAGGGCAGGTGGCCCCACCAGCGCACGGCAGAGTGCCGGGATGGCCAGGAGTGCGGCACTGCTCCTCTGGGGTGAGTGCCCGGGCATGGGCCTTGGGGCTGGGCAGGGGGCCTGATGCCACAGGGATGGGCGCCTAGACCCCTCCCATACTTTGGGGAGCAGTGAGTTGAAGCAGAGCCCAGTGGCACTGGCCGGCCCATGGGGAGGGCGTGCTGGGTGGCTGTGGGGTCCCCTGAGGTCCCAAACACCAGCAGAGCCAGCACACGGGGTTGTACCCCCCAGCGTGCCTGGGGCTGTGGGGCTGGAGCAGCTGTGGGGACGGGGCTGTGGGGACAGGGTTGAGGGGACAGGCATCACAGGGATAGGGATGTGGGGACTGGTGTCATGGGGCTGGGGTGGCTGTGGGGGGGGGTACATGGGGATGGGGCTGTGAGGGCAGAGCTGTAATGATGGGGACATGGGGACAAGCACCATGCAGATGGGGCCATATGCCACAGGGATGGGGCCATGGGGATGGGTGCTGTGGGGCTGGCGGAAGTGTCCCCATGCTCTGCGCAAGCTCGGGATGGCTGTGCTGCCCAGACACAGTGCGTGGGCGGCTCTGACGCAGCCATGTCCCCTGGGCTCTCCCAGCTGTCCTGGGAACCATCCCCGCACCCTTTCCCACGGGTGCTGGTGTCCCCACAAGGGCAGCTTGGGGACAGCCCCCGCACCCCTTCCCCTGGGTGCCGGTGTCCCCGCGGCAGCAGCCCCCACCCAGCACCTCTCCCCTTCCTTCCAGCCCAAGCCCTCGGCCTCACTGGTGAGTCCTTGCTGGTCCCCAACCCTGCTGTCCCCAGACACTGCCGGTGGCCCCGGCAGACTGGCGTCCCCTGTCACCTTGCAGGTGCCCAGCCCAGCCAGCTCACGCTGGACCCCCCCTGGACACCGGTGTTCCTGACAGAGAAGGTGACACTGACCTGCCAGGGCTCTGGCGCGCCCGGCCCCGCCAAGTGGTATGTCAATGAGCAGTTCTGGCAGCAGGCAAGATCCAACCACATCCACATCACCACAGACCTACCCAGGAGCTACAGCTTGCAGTGCCGCAGCCCTGGTGCCAGGCTCAGCCCCTCCATCACCTTGGGCTTCTCGAATGGTGAGGGGTGGCATGGGTGCCCCTGCCCTGGCACGTGCGGGTGCCACAAGGGCTCTGGGTGGGCTCTCTTTCTCAGCCTCTTGCCCCTCGTGTGACAGGAGCCCATCCTGTGCATGCTGGCTGCATCTCCTGCACATAACTGGGTGCATCCGCGTGCACACCAGTGCATCCTTGTGCACACCGGTGCATCCCCATGCCATGGGAGCCCACCAGCCGAATCCCTGTGCACCAGCCGCCCCCGCCCTCTCTTGCAGACTGGCTGGTGCTGCAGGTGCCGGCGCGGGTGCTGCTGGAGGGGGACGCGCTGCCGCTGCGCTGCCGGGGCTGGAAGGACATGCATGTCACCCAGGTGCAGTTCTTCCATGAAAGGGAGGCACTGGGGGGGCTTTCCCAGGGGACCGAGCTGCTCCTGCCCTCCCTGCAGCTGCACCACAGCGGGCACTACCGCTGCCAAGCCACCGTGGGCCATGTCTTTCCAACGTGGCAGGAATCGGCACTGGTGATGGTGGCGGTGCAAGGTGAGCACCCCCTCCCCAACACCCACCTGGCAGGGTGCAGCCCCCCTTCCCCAGCGGGCTCGGCGTCACCGCTCCCCCCCGGCTCCCTCCCAGAGCTCTTCACGGTGCCGGTGCTGCGCCTGGAGGGCCCGGCCGAGCCCCGCGAGGGAACCCCCGTGGCCCTGGGCTGCCTCAGCCACCTCAGCCCCCTGCGGCCCCTCACCCGCCTCCAGCACCTATTCTACCAGGATGACATGGTGGTGGGGGGGCCCCAGGGCTCGCCCCAGCTCCAGCTGCCGGCCGTGGGGCTGTCCCACTCGGGGAACTACTCCTGCGAAGTGCGGACAGAGACGGCCAGCGTGCGGAAACGCAGCACCCCGGTCACCGTCACGGTGCGCAGTGAGTGTGCAGGAGGGATGGGGGCGTACCAGGGCCCTGCAGCCATCCCTGGGTCCCCACATCCCTCCCCAGGTCCTCCCACCCCTGCCTGGCTCCTCCCATCCCTTCCCACATTCCCACATCGGGGGGATCCCCACATCCCTCCCCAGGTCCCTCCCTGGGATCCCTTCATGCCTCCCTAGGTCCCCCCATTCCTTCCCAGGTCCCTCCCCAGGTCCCCACATCCCCCCAGGGTCCTTCCATTCATTTCCAAGTCCCCCCCTCCCTGCCTAGGTCCCCCTCATTTCTCCCTGGGGTCACCCGATCCCTCTCCAGGTCCCTCCATCCCTCCCTGGGGTTGCCCAATCCTTCCCTGTTGTCCCTCCATGTTGCCCAGGTCCCTCCATCCCTCCTCTGGTCCCCCTTCCCTGTCTGGGTCCCTCCATCCCTCTCCAAGTCCCCCCCCCCCTTCCCTAGGTCCCCCATCCCTGCCTGTCTCCTCTCTGCAGGGGTCCCAGTCTCGGGGGTGTCCCTGGTGGCACAGCCCCCCGGGGGGCAGGTGGCAGAGGGAGACCGCCTGGTGCTGAGCTGCTCGGTGGCTGAGGGGACGGGGCCCCTCTCCTTCTCCTGGCACCGGCAGGGCTCAGCTGTGCCACTGGCCACAGGCCCCTACTACAAGCTCCGCACTGTGCGGCACCAGGACAGCGGCCGCTACCACTGCACGGCCACCAACGGTGGCACGGCGGCCGACAGCCCGCCGCTGTGGGTCACTGTCCTGGGTGAGCAGGACCCTCTGGCTTCGGGTGCCCTCCACCCACGGTGTCACCTCATCCCGCCACTAGTCTGACCCCAGCACCATCTTTCTGCCTGGTAGTGCCAGTGGCTGGTGCCACCATCACGATGGCAAGGATGGAGCCGGTGGTGCCAGTGGGCGAGAATGTCAACCTGAGCTGCTCCGTGCGGGTGGGCACCGCGCCGGTGACCTTCACCTGGCTGCGGGACGGGCAGGAGCTGGACTCGGGGCCCGTCCTGTCCCTGGGTACTGTGGGGCCAGCACATGCTGGGACCTACCAGTGCCTGGCCACCAACCGCCTCGGCACCCACCGCATCTTCCGGGCACGCAGCCTGGCTCTGGCCCTCTCGGTGACGCAGCCAAGACAGGGAGGGCAGCACCAGGGCACAGGTGGGGGCTACGCCCATCTTCCCCCCCGCCCCCCTGGTCCCGCATGGGTGTCCAGCCCCCCAGGGTCAGGGCTGACCTGGGCTTGTCCCTGCTCTGTCCCCAGCCATGGCCGTGGGGCTCAGCATGTCCCTCCTGCTCCTGCTCGTGCTCACTGCTGCCATGGGCTGGTACCTCCGGCGCCGGTGCCGTGCAGGTGGGTCACCCACACCGGGGGGCTGGGGACCAGGTCTGTGGTCCCAGGTGGGGTAAAAGCCCCCCACACCGGCTGGGGGGTGGGCAATGGGGCTGCACCCTGCATCCCTCATCTTAGCTAGGGCTGAGCCCCCAGCGCCCTTGGCTCAGGGTCCTGGGCGGGTCTTAGGGGCCCTCCCTGCTTGCAGCTCATGTACCCCCATCTCAGCTGGGTATGCGGGGCTGAGTCCTTGGTACCGCCAGGTTGGGGGTCCTGGAGGGTCTTGGGGGGTGTTGTCTCCTTCCTGGGCATGCAGGGCTGAGCCCCATGGTCCTTGGCTTGGGGTCCAGGGGGTCTTGGGATGCCTTGGGTGGTCTCCCTCCTTGCAGCCCACATCTCCCTGTCTCATCTGGGGGCCTGGTACCCCCAGGTGAAACTCATCGGAGTCCCCAGTACCACCAGCTCAGGGGCCCGGGGTCCTCCCTCCCTCCTGGGCATGCATGGCTGAGCCCTGGGGTCCTTCGTTTGGGGTCCTGGGGAGTCTCAGGGGTCCTGGGGATCCCTTGCCACTGTGACTCCCGAGACCCCAGGGTTGCTCACACACCCCCTTGCCTTGCAGCTGCTGGGAAGAGCCAGAGCAGGTGAGCGGGGGGGGGGGGGGGGGGGGGGGGGTCCGGCCACGAAGCCCCTTGCCCTGGGGCTGGGACAGCAGGTTACCCGCCCCCGTCCCAGTCTGCTCCCGCCCCAGCCACGCCATTGTCCCGCAGGGACCCCACGATCCCTCCGGAGCCCGAGGGTCGCCAGCCAGAGCCCACAGCCCCCCCCGGGGAGCTGGAGGACGGGGAGGTGCTGTACACCTGTGTCGTGGTCACCGAGCGGGACGGGGGTGAGTACGGCGGGTGGAGTGGGGGACGCGCCGCCCACGCGTGTCACCGCCCCCAGCCCGGGTCCCCGAACCGCTTTCTCTTCCAGGCACCTCCCCGTCCCGCTCCCCCCGGGGCTCCCCCCGCTCCGCACCCCCGCGGGAGCCGCCCGTTACCTACGCTGTGCTGCCGGGTCCCCACGCGCGGCTGCGGCTCCCGAGCGACACCTACGAGAACGTCCCGTGACACCACAAGGCACTGGGGGGGG